CTCTCACCGTATCACACATATGGAGGTCCAACTTTTAATTTAGCCATGTTAACTTCTCCTTCTTCCATGCATTCATCTTCATACTCTATAGAATAATCTTTCTTATCCACATAGGCCACTTTGACTTTTCTATGATCCTTTGAAACTCTAGCTTTTTCTGTTCTCAAACGTTCGATATATCTAACCTTATCAACTAGTTGAGACATACCTGTAATAGATTTAGGATAAAACTTCTTCCTAATGGAATAATCTAAGCCCTCAGCGGCCATTTCGACCAACTCATGTTCAGGAACTCTAGTAAAACATCTAGACTTTAGGACCCTAAACATATTCAAATAAGCCTCCATTGACTCAAACGACCTCCTCTTGATTGAGGATAATTCTTTCAAACTTATATTAGGTTGACCAACATAAAATTGCTCATGAAATATGCCCTCAACTTATTCCCAAGTGCGTATAGAATTCGGAGTCAATGTTGTAAACCAAGTAAAAACATTTTTGGTTAATGAATTAGGAAAATATCTTAATTTTAAACCCTCATCATTGGCGATATCGCCATCTTCTATTTCATACCTAGAAATATGTTCAATGGTCGACTCATTAGCATCACCAACAAACTTGGTAAATTTAGGTACCTTACATCCTCTAGGTAATTCTGCCAGTCGAATATAATCGGGCAAGGGAGACGAATAATTAGGCTTCTGAAGGCCAACATTCACCCCAGATCGTGTTAACACTTCTTCTACTACATTCACTATGTTTTTACGCCTAACAATGGCATTTCTTAACACTCTATCATCATATTGGTTTCTCCTAACTACGACTGGACTAGGTTCGTATTTTTCAACAAATTCTTCCTCTTCGTAAGTGGGTACTTCCACCCTTTGAGGTCTAAAAGGACGCTCATTATTGTATCTCTCCAGTTCTTCAAAAACTCTTAACGGCCTTTGGTGCGTCTGAGTTGGTTGGACCCCTAATGACTCGATCAATATGCCTATTTGGTCAACTACAAGATTGAAGGCAACTCCCATTTGTTGAGTTAAAACATTCACTAACTCTAAATTACTCTCATCCATCTGTTTCCTCAAAGCCATAACAGAAGTAGTATTCAAAGATGGTGTCGACTGAGGGATATAACCAACACCACCTGGTCGACCAACTGGGACTTAACTACCTTGGTTTCGACTGTAACCCAACCATCATAGAATAAGGTATACCATATTGATAAGGGACAAATGATGACCCTGAACCCCCCAAAAAGAGTGATCAATTTGAGTCAAGGTGATACCATATGCCTAGGTTTTATCGTTGTAACTGTTGTCACTGAACCATGAATAACAGTCGATCTCATAAGAGATAAAACCATCGCGCTTTGAGTTGTGGTACTCACTGGTATGGCATCCACATTTTGTGTAAAAATCTGTGTATGTGCAGTATTTGTGTCTGAGCGTGGCATTTTAGACTTTGATAAATGTTTACTACTTCTTAAATTCACACAAACACAAACTAAACTACAAGAAACTTTGTAAAATCAAACACAAATACGAAATTATTAGCACGGCCCCACCAGGTGTGCCAATTTGTTTATCTCTGATTTTGGTAAACAATATTGGTCTCTTAATAAAAGTTTACTGGCGAGAATGACCAGGGAATCTCAGTATAATGCTTCAGTTTTCGAGTGTTTTCACAAGGTGTTTTTAAAAGATTTCGTTTGACTAGTGCCAAACGAGTTGATAACAAATAAAGCAAGATTTGTAAAATAAAATGAAAAGTGCTTTAAGCTGTAGACATAAATAACATAACATCAAAATAGTTAAAAATAAGTTGATTCAAACATACATTTCCCTAGCCTGACTCATTTCGCTTGTTTGTTTGGATACTTTTAGTGACTAGCGTATATGAATGTGAAAGTTTGAATCTTTAACACTATGCACTAAGTGCTTTATTTATAATACACAAAAAATAACTACTTTCTAGCAGACTTTGCTTCTTTGTATGCCACGTGTATCTTGTAACCCCTCTCCATGATCCCATGTTCTCCATTCGTACTCTCGAACCCATGTTCTCCAAGTTTCCCTCCAAAACGTTTCGCTCGCTTGATGGATATTTTGGGCCTTTTGAAGTTTCTAGGCCCAATGACTTATGAGGTCTTCCCTGGTCGGCTGCTTCTGTTTTCAGGCCCAATCACTGACTTGTATAATCTCTCTAGGTCGATTGCATCAGTAGTTGAATACTTGTAGAATCTCTCTAGGTCCTAGGTCGGCTGCATCAGTAATCGAATAACATAAATCACCTTTTCTAAAGAACCTTTTTGTTCCTTTTCTTTTGGTTGGATTTTGGTCCTTGTTGAAAATCTCAGCCAACACTACTTCAACTGGTCAGGAATTGCAGGACCATTCTTCATATCGCAAGTTAATTGGTAAGTTAATCTACCTCACCAACACTAGACCTAACATATCATATATTTTACAACAGTTAAGCCAATATGTTTCTCACCCCTTACTTCCACATTATCAAGCAGCCACTAAGGTCTTAAGGTATCTTAAGCTTTTTCCTGCTAAAGGTATCTTATTTTCTTCTTCTGGTGATTTTAAACTATACGGCTTTGTTGACTCTGACTGGGCACGATGCCTTGATACTCGAAGATCTACTACTGGTTTTTGTGTTCTTATGGGTCCTTCTCTCCTTTGTTGAAAGTCCAAGAAACAAAACACAATCTATAAATCTTCTAATAAAGTTAAATACATAGCTTTATCATCTTTAACCTGTGAGCTTCAATGGCTATAATATTTGTTCAAAGATCTTACCATCACCTTGTCCAAGTCAGCTTCAGTATATTGTGATAGCAAATCAACTATCTGTTTGGCTCACAACCTTGTCTTCCACAAGCGAAGTAAGCATATTGAATTGGACTGCCATGTAATTCATGAAAAGATTCAGTCCAAGCTACTTCATCTTCTTTCTATATCCAATATTGATCATCTTACCGACATGTTTACCAAGCCCCTGCATTCTCCAACATTGACTTTCATTTTGGCCAAATTAAAATTTTGTAATATCTATAGTCTAACTTGAGGAGGATATTAATTTATTATATTAATCTGATACTTTATTTTATTTTATTAGTATTAAATCTAATGACTATTATTTAATCTTGGCTTGTTTATATAAACTACCACATGTATCTTATCCTTTAATCAATGAAACAATTATTCTAATATCTCTTTCTAATTTTCTCTCACAATTCTGTTACGATTCAGTTACAAGTTGGTTGCGGATTTCTTCTCTAATGACATATGCTATCATTGTTGGCAAAAAACAACTAAAAAATTAATTAACCTAATTATACTTGTTACATCAAAACACAAAACAATTCAAACTCCACAAAATACATATTTTAGTGTCCATATTTCATACATAGTAGTATTTATTTCTTTTAAATATCCCCACTTATATGAGAATATATGATATGCATTGAGAGTATAAATTAATTTTATATTTATTATTATCGTGTTTCAATTAAATTAGAAAAAAATATTTTAAATTGCTAATATAATATGGCAGAACGATAAATTTCGATTAGATGATAGCGCAATTTTATATTTTAACTATATATCTATTAAACTTTACTTATATATTATTTGTAATTATTTTAATTTATATTTTGATGTAGTTTGAGGATGATAGTTGCGATATTTTATTTAAAGCATTGAAAAATAGATTTCATATTAAATTAAATATTTTCTATTATAAAATAAAAGTAGAATATATATTTTTAATAGTAAGTAGAGATGAGATCGATGTCGATTTATAAGAATTTATTGTCTGGTTTATTTAAGTATGTTTTGGTCTGATTTATTTAATAAAAATATTAAATTTATATATTTTTAAAATTTTATTTAATTAAATATAAAAATTTAAACAATTAAAAAAATTATAAAATCTTACCGATCTCAATCTATATATACATATTTATTAAAAATTAAATTAAATAATATATAAACATTTATGTTGTCTATTTAAAAAATAGGTAAAATAAATTATTTAAAATTTTTTATGAAATAAATTTTTAATAGATTTTCAAAAAAGACCAAATTTTTAAAAATTTATATTAGAATATAAAAAATCTAATAAATTATATAAGAGACTCAAATTAAAAAAAAAGAAAAGGGAAAGACTGCCCTTAGAATAATCTTTAAATACTTAAAATGGTATTTTTTTCTAGAAGTATATAAAATTTAAAATTATTAACTTTTCTAAAAAATATTTTGCATAGTTAATATTTTTAAAGAGTATTCTCATAACACTGATTAGCATAATCGATTTATTTAAATTAGACTCACATTACTTAATTTATTCTCTTTTTTAATCATGAGATCATGGTTCTAAATACGTTAGGTGATAATGTTATCTCCACTAAATTCAATTTAGATTAAAATTGAATGTCAAGTTTTTTTCCAATTCAATCATTTTATCAACAAAAAGAGAATCGATTACTAATATCATTGTTGCTTTTTAACCTTTTGATAAAATCAACACAGATTAAAAAACATTCCTCCGACCTCAAAAAATAAAAAAGTAAAAGGGAGTACTCCATTAATCAATTTATTAATTAGCATGAAGAAAAAGGACACAAGCATTAAGATGGAGTGGGTAAAATAGTAAATGCAGTATAACATAAACAGCATCTTCTTTTGCGCGAGTACAAATGCATAGGACCGTTGAAAGGAGGGTAAATTGGGAAAGAAAATAATGCAAGAAAAGATAGAAAGCACGCGACCATAATGCAGTGAAGGTGAAGGGAAAATGATAGTGGTTGTTGTCCTTACAGTTACTGGTCATGCTCTCTTATGAGTCTCTCTCTTTTCTTTCCACAACTACCCCTATTCTTTCGCTCTCCAACTACACTACTTTCTCTCTCTAGCATTAACAAAAACTCTCTCTACTTCAGCTCAGTCAATTGATCTCTGATTCATTTCTCTTTAGCTTCTTTCTTCCCCATGGAAGCAGGGGAAAACTGTTGCGTAAAAGTCGCGGTTCATGTGCGGCCGTTAATCGCCGACGAAAAGCTTCAAGGATGCAAAGACTGTGTCACCGTCGTCTCCGGGAAGCCTCAGGTGCACTCACTTTCACCTCAACAATGTCGTTTGCGAATTGAATGTGAAAAACGAAACGCATTGTCGTTGACTCTGTACAATGCTCTAGCTATTTCCTCTTTTGGATTTTTAGTCTTATGTGGAAGAGATCTAGATCGGAAATTGCTTACGTAACTGAACACGCGTGTTCTAAATCTAGATTGATTGAAGTTGCTTTTATGATCTGATATTTACTTTTTTGGGATATATTTGACTTCATTCTATTTCGGGATTGGATATCAGTGTACGTTTCTGAAAATTTATTTTGGGGAAATATAACGGGATTTTGGTTAGATTGGGAGGAGAGGAAGGTTTCTTTTACCTAGTTTTGCAATTTCGCTTTTGGCTTTTAGAGTTTTTATATATTTCGAATTAAATATTCATAAATTTTTGGATTTGTGTTTGGTTTTGCTGGGAAGAAAATTGATTCTAGATTAATTGGTTATTGTAAAATTGATTCTATACGCAACTTAAAAACGAGTTTAACCCACAAATGCGAGAACATAATCAATTGTAGAGGCAGAATCTTCAAGTTACATACACAACTTAATGAACAACAAATTTGAAGTTTAGAATTATCTATGTAGATAAAGTCAATTCCAATGAGGCGATCGCAATTTCAGGTGAATTAACCACAATTAAAAATAGTGAGTATTGGTATCGGCACCCTTTTCTCACGACCGTTTTCATGGTAACAGCCAGTTTTTTTAAAACCTTGGTCAATTCTACTCAAGAATATCAAACATGCCAAAATTACTTTTACACCTCGAAATCAAAATCTACTTCTCCAAAAGTGGACATACACTACTAACTGAGCATAATTAGGAGTTTAAGTGCATGTTTGGATTGACGATCTCATCAATTTGTGTGACAATGATTTTAGCAAAAACTACACTTTAGAGCTTCAACAAAATTACATTAGCTCTTTAGTTTTTGAATTTTGTTCAATTGTTGGCAACATTTTCATTTTCCTTTTGATGTTTCTTCAGTTTCTAATGTCAAAAACTTCAACGATTTAAATGTTTAGAAACTATCAGCTGATTTCTTTTTCCTGAATATTTCCTTATATGCCTTTCATCTTCAATTGACATCTATTTCTGTTATCTTATTTTCAAAGAGTGTTAAAATTTAGTATTATTAGTTTTTTAATTTAAATTGCTTGCATTTTTTCGTGGACGCCGATTGTTTATTAGTTAAAGTCATTGGAATTTATTCGTGTGGTTTTGAAATGACACTTTAATATCCTTTAAGTAGCTAAACATTTGGCTTGATAATAATATGCTAATTCATTTGTCAATGTAATACAGGTACAAATTGGTGCTCACTCATTTACATTTGATCATGTCTACGGAAGCACTGGTTCTCCCTCGTGTAACATGTTTGATGATTGTGTTGCTCCACTTGTTGATGGTTTGTTTCAAGGATATAATGCTACTGTTCTGGCATATGGTCAGGTATAGTATAAGGAAAGAGAAGTTACATGCTACAACACTTGAAAGTTGCAGCTCTTTTGCATTTGACACTTCCATTTGATTGCAGACAGGTTCTGGGAAAACGTACACCATGGGAACTGGCTTCAAAGAAGGTTTCCAAACTGGTGGAGTAATACCCCAAGTTATGAATGTTTTGTTCAACAAAATTGGGACCTTCAAGCACCAGACTGAATTTCAGTTGCATGTTTCCTTTATTGAGGTCTGTTGATGTTTTTTTTTTCCACTGCTTGCCGAATTGTTTTTGAATTTTGTTGTTTAAATGTGTTTCAATGTTTGAATTATGCCTCCCTCATATGTGCAAAGTTATCAAGATTATGTATCTGACAACAACATTTAATTGTGAAAAGATTCTTAAAGAAGAAGTAAGAGATTTACTGGATCCCTCCCCCATGGGGAAACCAGAAACTACAAATGGACATGCAGGAAAAATGACATCTCCTGTGAAGCCGCCAATACAAATTCGCGAGACATCAAGTGGTGTTATAACTCTTGCAGGATCTACTGAAGTTAGTGTCACCACATTAAAAGAAATGGCTGCTTGCCTGGAACAAGGATCCTTGAGTAGAGCAACTGGGAGCACAAATATGAATAATCAATCCAGGTTGATAAAGCATTTTTCTGCTCTACTTTGAACTGCACAAAATAGTTTTTTATTCATGAAATAATTTTCTGTTTTTAAGATTCTTGGACTACTTTTGGGTAGCATATGGCCACAAGAAATGATCAGAGAAAGAATCAGATTACATAGAATTCATTTGATAAATCAATAAATAACTGGAGACATCAAATATTGTCCACCTTTGTCAACTCTGTTTTAAAAGTCTGCTGGCATTTCAAGCATCTAACAATGAGATTGAGCTTTGGGGTTTTTCCTTTAAAATATGCATTTTGTCACTGTAGGAATACTTGCAATTTTGTCGTACATTTTATTGATTTTTCAATGAATTATTCCACCTGTTTACTTGTCAGTCCCAGTCCACGATTTGACACAATATGAATAGTTTGTCATTATGATTCATAACCATTATGATGTTTGACCTATGCCATTGACCCCCACCTAGTGGGAAAAGTATTTGGTTGTTGTTGTACCAATACATGATTGAAAAGTTGTGCCTCAAACTGTTGCTGTTTATTATGTTGGAGTTCTCTTCTATATCTTATACCTCTTCAATGTGTCCAACTAGTCGATCTCATGCAATCTTCACCATCACATTAGAGCAAATGTGCAAGGCCAAGAATCCTAATGACAGCTGCTTAAATGATACTATGAATGACGAGTATCTTTGTGCTAAGTTGCACTTGGTAGATCTTGCCGGATCAGAACGTGCTAAAAGAACAGGGTCTGATGGTATGCGTTTTAAGGAAGGTTAGTTTTTCACATTTTTCAGATATATCCTTTAATTTTGTTTTTGACATTATTATATATTCATTAGTTGTCTAATCTTTAAATCAGGCGTTCATATTAACAGAGGACTTCTAGCACTTGGTAATGTTATTAGTGCACTTGGTGATGAAAAGAAGCGAAAGGAAGGCGTTCATGTTCCATATAGGGACAGTAAACTTACTCGGCTTTTACAGGTTTGATATCCTTATATTTAGCTTTTTTTTTTTTGCAGCATATACATTTCTTTTTATGATATTGAAAATAATTTATAGATAAAAGAATTAGTGTGCACTCTATCTCCTGTTTTTCCAAATTCATCTACAGACTAGTTAGTAGGAAGCTCTAATATTTAAAAAATGTAATTGTGCCACGAACACATTTATATTCACCTATATTGAATCTAGGTTATTCACAACTGGAATGTTACAATTTCCTAGAAGAAAATAAATAATATTACTGATAAAAGAAGACGATATAAAACAGGAAACATTTATATGGGAGGGATAATTGTTTTCGTTGTCAAATTTTCTTCCTTTGATCTTTTTTGCGTTCTTGCTTTTATAGATTAAAAAGTTTAAATACTTTTGCAGGATTCACTTGGGGGTAACAGCAGAACTGTCATGATAGGTCAGTTGTTTCTCTTACATATATCAACTTTTCTCTTTTCGTTCCATAAGTGGCCTTAACTTCAAGCTAACATTTCTAATCTTCATCTTGGAACCAAAGTTAATAGTATGATCTTTTTTAACACATGCTGAAATGCATAAACTGTGTTCTGTATATTACATTCTTGGACCTTTTCCCTACGCCGAATAAATCATTTTTTTCTTAAGGTTTGAACTTTTTCCAACTATATGGTTGATGCAAAGAGTTTGAATGCTCTATCATGTCTTTCTACTTTACTTCCGCACCTTTTATGTTTCTTCTTAAGATTTGCTGTTATGAAACAATATTTTTATTTCAGCGTGCATAAGTCCTGCTGATATTAATGCTGAGGAAACCCTAAACACTTTGAAGTATGCAAATCGTGCACGCAATATCCAAAATAAGCCTGTTGTGAGTATTGCATAGTTCTTTGTTCCCAATTTTTCATTTGACAAAACCGAGATAATTTTACTGTGATAGCCATTGAGGCTCACCTTTTTCTTAATTTCTTCTCTAGGTCAACAGAGATCCCATGTCCAGTGAGATGCTAAAAATGAGACAAAAACTGGAGTATTTGCAGGCAGAACTTTGTGCCCGTGCCGGTGGCTCATCTGGGGAAGTTCAGGTATTTGGCTTCCATTAATATGAATCTTTGGCGAAGTCTTGATTGCTTAAATATATTTCCTACATTGCTATTGATGGTATTAAATGGCTTAATTTTATAGTGTATGATGATGGGATACCAATCAATATTCGTCACTGTGTTTATTATTTGAAGAAAAGTATCCTAGCACTAATTGTGCTTATATGCCACTATTTTGAGATACATTTCAAATTTGATATGATTTACATCAATCTCATATTATCGAATGGTTTTCATTCATATTTTAAATATGTAATCATCTTGTAACTCATCGTATAGGGTCTTAAGGAAAGGATTGTTTGGCTTGAAGCTGCTAATGAAGATCTTTGCCGTGAACTTCATGAACACCGTAGTAGATGTTCTATCTTAGAACTAAGTGAAAAGGATGCTTATGTATGCTTCTTACTTTTTGCTATTATTTTTCTTTGACTCGCATATTTTTTTTGCAGAAAGTATTTTAATCCCTAAATATATGACCTTTCATCCCATCATTTTAGTTTGCATCCTTCAAATGAATTGAGGATATTGGCTGGATAATTTATGCATGCAATCTTGAAAACTGTTTCTTAGGATGGTGGCACATGCATTGTGAAGACGGATGGGCTTAAGAGGACCTTACCTATCATAGTGGCTGATTACCCAATGAATGAAACAGCAGGCAAGTCTTGTCTTTGGTCTGGATTTAATATTTGATTATTGTCTGTTTTACACATGCACTTGCTTGAGTCAGTCCTTTGTCTATCTCTTTCTCCGCTTCTACTTGATCTTGTGTTACTAAAACTGCATGACTCATGGTACAAATTGCATTTTAGCAGGTGATTCAAAAGAAATTGAAGAAGTAGAAAAAGAATGGGAGCACAAACTTCTGCAAAATAGTATGGATAGAGAGTTGCATGAATTGAATAAACGCTTGGAGCAGAAAGAGGTCATTGTGGCACATATGTATAATTAAACATATCAACATTACGCACTAGTAAAAAGTACTTTAAAAGGCATGAATTGAATAGCAGGTTGCTGCAGAGCATGTGTATAATTTGACATATATCCACATCATGCACTACTGAAACGCACATTAATCTTCTGTATTTTCTCCTGTCTCGTATTTTATTATTTTGTTAACATACATTATTGGGATTGATATGTACAGTTTGAGATGAAGCTGTTTGGAGTATCCGATGCTGAAATACTCAAGCAACGCTTTGGAAGGAAGATAATGGAACTTGAGGATGAGAAGAGAACAGTGCAGGTACAATAGAGGTTATGCAACTTATTTTGACCCTTACAGAAAACTAATATTCATCTATTTGACTGATTTATAAATGCAGCGAGAAAGAGATTGTCTTTTGGCTGAAGTTGAAAATCTTGCTGCCAACTCTGATGGACAAACACAGAAGTTAGAGGATACCCATTCCCAAAAATTGAAAACACTTGAAGCACAAGTGGGTAGTCCAATTTGCTTTTTATTTACTTATTTATTTATAAAATAATATTTCTTTTCCCTTTATAAAATTTGTTTTTGAATATATACTAAATTACAAAACCTGTTTCAAAACTCTGCATGTTAGATTTTGGATCTGAAGAAGAAGCAAGAGAATCAAGTCCAGCTTATGAAGCAAAAGCAAAAAAGTGATGAAGCAGCGAAGAGGTTGCAAGATGAAATACAGTCTATAAAGGCCCAAAAGGTTGACGGTTGTATTATAACAAATCCGTTCCATGGTTACAATCACTTATACTCTTGGTTATGACACACGACCTCAATGTTGCAGGTTCAATTGCAACAAAAAATAAAACAAGAAGCAGAACAGTTTCGACAGTGGAAGGCTTCTAGAGAGAAAGAACTGTTGCAAGTATGTCAAGCTTCCTTTTATCATGTTATTGAATTTGTTCATGCTACTTCTCAACGACATCTTAAGATGCTGAATGTTCGTAAACTAGTGTTTTGTCTAAAGTGGAATAACTTATTTGCTTTTAGTTGCACGATTCTTCATAAAATAATAAACAATCATTCATGCTACATTTTAAGTTTGTGTGCCAACTACTCCTTAAGGTGGTGTGATTTTTCAATTGCATTTATGTTACTGTTAGAATGCTACATGATCACCTCACATTGATTACATGTTTGCAAGAGCAGTTAAAGAAGGAGGGAAGAAAAAATGAATATGAAAAGCACAAGCTGCAAGCTTTAAATCAGCGTCAGAAAATGGTATGTATTTTGAAGTTGTTCAATGCTGATTTGTTTTACTTAATACTTGTTTTGAATACTTCATTATTATGCCCTCACTGTTATACCTTAATGGTTTGGCTTTGAGGACATTTTATGTGGAATCTCGAGTTCGAATCCGGGTCACCACATTTCCTTCTACTTGCAAGTGTTTATTTGTGTATGTGTGGCCATTAGCCAATAACTAAAAAGATGTGGCTGCTGGGATTCGAGCCCAGGTCTCCACGGCCACAACGTGGAATTCTTACCACTAAACTACAGCCACTTGTGTTTAGGATTCCATTCAAGTTTTATAAAACATAGGAATCACAAATAAACATAACATATAAATATACAGGGACATATCTTTCATAATTTATTACAACACAAATCAAAATAGAATTAGGAAATATAGAAAAATGAAAACGTTAGGACATGAGAAAGATATTTACATGACAAAAGTTGATTATATAGAAGAAAATATGGAAATAATATACAATTAGGGGTGTAAAACGGGTCGTGGCCCGCCGGGCCGGTCCCCACAACCACCAAAAAATGGTGGGTTGAGTTGGGATTTTGGGCCCACCGCCCACCAAAGCCCGCTCCGCTATAGACCGCCTGCCTTAGCCCGCTCCGCTAAAACCCGCCACCTGCTAAAGCCCGCCGCACCTTTTCGTTTAGCTTGTCCCATCTTAAGTCCGTCTTTTTTTAGTTAATTCTAGTCATTTTTAATTCTTGATGGTTTTATTTTATACATTTACTTGTGAATATATGTAATATTTTTTGAAGTAAAATTAATTAAAAAGATAATTTATAAAAATTCGTTTTAAAAAATAAGTGAAAAATCTAATTGAAATGTAAAAAAAAGCCTATTTATCTATTAAAAATGAAATAAATTAATAAAAAAGTAGGCGGACAAGCCTGCCGTCCGCCAATCCGTCGCCCGCCACCTTGGCAGGGCGAGCTTGATTTTTAAGCCCATTTTCACTTGGCGGGTATGCCCGCCCCGCTTTTTTTTTGGCGGGCTTAAGGCGGGGTGAGGCGGGACGGGCGGCCCATTTTGCCACTCCTATGTACAATGTAATTAGGAAATTATTGAAGTTACCAAAAAAGAAATGAGAAAAACCAAATTTTAACCTTAAAATAGCAGTTTGTAAGGTGAAGATTGTCCCACTTGTTGCCATATTTCATCCAGAACTCTTGACATGTATCAAAATGGAGTATCCTATGTTTAATTTTGACGAATAATTTTGGTATGTAGTCGGTACATACCAAACTAGTATAGGGTACAAGTATGATACCAAATACATGCTTCAGAGATAGCAGCTGCCTATGTTAAATAATTATGTGTATCATCATCAGGAAGGTCCTTCAAAGGAAAACTGAAAAAGCTGAGTGCCAGCTTAAACATTTATATTATCTTATATTTAGTTGTAGAAAAAAATATTGCTGCTGGGATTCAAGCCATGGTCTCCACAGCCACAACATGGAATTCTTACCACTGAACTACAGTCACTTTGGTGATTGGTTGTCCACTTATCTTGTATAAAATATAGAAATCACAAATAAGTATAGCATCTAACAGAAAACTTCAATCATGACAAATCACAATAGAATTAGGAAATAAAAGAAAACTAGAAAATTAGGACATAAAGAAGATATTTATATAACAAAGTAATGAAAGGTTGTTTGTATAGAAGAATATATGGCAATAATGTACAATGTAAAAGGAAAATATTTACAGCATCAAAAAAAGAAATGAGAAAAATTATATTTATGATTTTTTTACTAATTAACAAACATGTATTAATTTCTCATACTTTAAAATGAGCCAAATATAAAGAAATAGAATGGAGTATGACGGAGTGGAATAGTTATATCATTCTATTGTTTGAATTTTAAATCGAGCTGAATATAATGAAATTGATTGGAGTAGGAAGGAGTGGAATAAATGTTTCATTCCCATTTATTTTATGGGAATGAAGCAAAATTGTTACTCCGACTAAAGCGTAGGTACAAACTGAAGGGAAATGATGAAATGAGATTAAATGTATTCCATAATGTTCCGCTCCATTCTATTTTTTTATACTAACTGACAATAACCACTATAAACTCACATACAACCGTGAGGGCCTGGTTCCTGATGGTGTCCAAACTAACAATATTGGTTTCATCTTCTTTTTATCTATCCAAATGGAACATAAACTTATTCCATCATTATTATATCAATCCATACATACATAACCTAAAAGTATACATGTGTATCCAAATAAAGTATCAAATGTTTTATTTTTAAAAATAATTTTGGTATGTAGTTGATACATACATACCCGTGAGTACCAGGTACGAGTACCAACTTCAGTTTTGCAGGGTGCATGTTTCTGAGGTAGCTGCCTATTCTAAACAAGTATGTATATCTTCATCCAGGTCCTTCAAAGGAAAACTGAAGAAGCTGCAATGGCAACCAAAAGGTTAAAGGAGTTGCTTGAAGCTCGTAAAACTTCCAGCCGAGACACTTTCGGTATGATTTGTTTTATGTGGCAATAATAAATTAAAGCTTTTGAGTCTTGGGATTTGAAGACAGAAGATGTTGTTAAGTTATATCTTCAACTGTAGAGGAACTGTCTTTTAGTAAATAGTATGATGCTATTGTTGCACTTTTATTTTGTTTAATCTACTAATTCTATTACTCTCCAGTTGCAACAAATGGAAATGGAACAAATGGGCAGGTAATGGATTTTCCTTTCCTTTCATAGATTTTCCTTACTATTCATGTGATCTTAAATAAATCTTTTTTCATCTTTAGAGTAACGAGAAGTCCTTACAACGGTGGCTTGACCATGAACTAGAAGTCACGGTAAAAGAACATGAAGTTCGTTTTGAGTATGAGAAACAGAGCCAAGTGTACGTAATATATGTTTCACTAATTACTTATTTTAGTGACTGATCTGAGGTGTAGTCATTAACTTTATGATGCAATCTACAGGCGAGCTGCCCTTGCAGAGGAGCTAGCCATGCTGAAGCATGTAAGTGAGTTTGCTGCTAAGGGTCTCAGTCCACCAAGAGGAAAGAACGGATTTGCCAGGTTTTTTTCTTACAAATCTTGTGTAATTTTTAAATTCCCACCTCTTCGCTTTTCAAAAAATTGGGATCTTTGGATTGATGCTGAGCGCAATACAAAAAGTATAACATCTGGCGTCTTGGTTGTTTTCAAAACTTGTTTTTTCAGGGCATCCTCCATGTCACCAAATGCAAGAATGGCTAGGATAGCTTCACTTGAGAACATGCTGAGTATATCCTCTAATTCACTTGTAGCAATGGCTTCTCAACTTTCCGAGGCAGAAGAACGAGAGAGGGCATTCACTAATCGTGGACGTTGGAATCAGTTGCGATCAATGGGAGAAGCCAAGAATTTGCTTCAATATATGTTTAATTCAGTTGGAGATGCTAGGTTTTCTCTTAGTCCAATCCTCTCTTTTATTGGTATTTCGTAGTTTTAGTACTCTAGAAATAAGTTAACTGAACAGTTTGCAATTTAAATACAAACAAAGCACACATATAAGGTGTTACCACTTGTAGTCTAGTGCAAGTTGTTGGTGCGAGGGTGTATGAATGTTGTAAACTCCGAGGGTACCAAATTCAATTCCTAATCATTAAAAAAACACATAAGATAAATATTGGGATATATGGAATTTAAAAATCATGTTTGTAAACTCTTGTATAATTTTATTGAGTAGCTTATACTGTTGAAAACAGGTGCCAACTCTGGGAGAAGGACATGGAGATCAGAGAAATGAAAGATCAAATCAAAGAACTTGTTGGTCTTTTGCGCCAAAGTGAGATGAAGAGAAAGGAAGCTGAGAAGGAGGTAAAAGGGAGAGAGCAAGCTGGCACAACCACATTGGCTACTCCAGTATCTGTAAGATTGTTGCTACTTTGTTAAGCATAAACGGATTTGGATCCTCTCAATATGCTTTTACATCGATCTCTCTCAACATTAAATATTGAATGCTAGATTAATCTAATGGAAGAAAGATCGAAACTAATTATTCAAAGAAAATACACCATAACAAAATGTTGTGGATTAGAGAGAGCTCAAAAGAAAAAACTGAATCATTGGTATCCAAATATTTATATCGAGCTCTCGGTCTCTCTAATTCCCATAACCTTATGTAAAAAAATACAATTGGAGCATCTAAGCAGGAGAAAATGTTAGAAAACTTTGGGAAGAAAATCATCATTCAACGACCAATTCTATTTGACATCAAATATGATTATGTTAATGCATTTTACATTGTGATTTAAACAAGAACTTTTTGAAATATATACCAGAATCAAAATATGTAGAGTGAAGAAATAAAATCACAAATTAGGAAGCTTTATGAAATATATATTAGTTGGGATATTTTTTTTATGGAGATAGTTTTTTCTCTCTGCTTCCTTTAACTGTCGTGCTTTTATTTTTCCACCGTTAGATTAATTTAATGTCTAGGAATTATTGTTGAGAGGATTCAAATCTGCTTTGAACAGGGAGACATGTTGGAACTTTATACCTCAACACTTAATTATCAGAGTCCTGTTCCAGGCTGTGAAAATTATGTCAAATTTGGATTTAGGATTTTTTTATGGGTTCTGGAGTGCTGTCTGTAAAGAAGCAGATCTAGTCACCTGATAAAGAAGCAAACGAATTAGGGTCATATGAGTTAGAAGAATCCAATATCAGTACAACACCTAAGGTTCTTGGATATCATGCATATAAGTAAAAATCACCATACATTTTGATGACAAGGCAAGACCAACAATTTTTTTTTTTGAAAAAGTTGCATTCTACTGTTAGAGATGCTCCTTATTTTTGTTGTACCAAACAAAAGTTATGTTGCTTTTAATTCTTAGTTTTCCACATTTTTTTCACTTCCTCTTTTTCAACCCAACCAAGTATAAACTAAATTCTTGACCTAGCAACCATGGACAAATTCATGAATATCAAAATAACCTAGCAACCATAGACAGATTCATCAATATCAAAATACTGCCTAGACAAAATATTAACAGAAGCGACAAGTTACTCCTCTTCTAATATAACATGAGAAAACAGTTCCAGTAGTCTTGACCTAATAGAATCCCCCAAAAATAAACCTAAATAATTAGATTCTTTAATCATAAGACTAATGCTTTCTTGATGTTACTGTACCTGAATCAGCAGCTTTTTATTATTAGCTTGATTATAAATGAGTTTAAGGGTTGGAATTATCTATGTTGATTAAACTAGACATGAGTTTGAAATTGAGCATTTATAAATAGCCTCTTACTTCTCATGATCGTCTCCTAGAATTTAATTAGGATTCCGTCAATTATTATTTTATGGTTGCTGTTGTAGCTAACTTTTGGTTGGCACTTTTTTACTTCTGGATATTATAATTGTCATAAGGTCATGACTTATTTTGGTAATAATAGTTAACTTTCATCATTTGCATCAACAGGGAAATTCTCCAAATTCATTGAAACAGTATACTGAAGACATGAAGGAACCTTTATCTCCAATGTCTGTGCCAATACCAAGACAACTCAAATATACGCCAGGGGTTGCTAATGGCTTGACGAGGGAATCAGCTGCATTTGTTGGTCAGGGTAGAAGGGTAAGCTAATAGTTGTTTATATGAAATTGGCTTATGCCTTTTATAGGAGATGGATGTGAATTTGCTATTAATGCAGATGAAACCCATTGGGCAGCTGTCAATGAAAAAACTAGCAATTGTAGGACAAGCTTCTGGCAAGTTATGGAGGTGGAAAAGAAGCCATCATCAGTGGCTACTACAATTCAAGTGGAAGTGGCAGAAACCATGGAGGCTTTCAGAATGGATTCGACACAGTGATGAAACAATCATGAGAGCAAGACCACGCTCACAGGCTTTGCCACACATGTGATATTTTATTTTCATTACCAGCCCAGATGCTGTTTCTGTATTTTTAGACCCACCAGAATTATCCTAGGCAAGTGGAAAAATGGCATTGGAAATAACAGCACTAGGTACAGGTAGTAACCCTTTGTTAATTTATTAAATAATAATTTCATGCAAATCATTGTGCCTTTGCCATTCACATAATCTTGCAAAATTTATCCTTCTTTTGAAGGAATTTATATCAAGCCTTTATCTTTTTCTCTTTTATCCAGTTACATGCTAATTATTAATTATGTATGACAACATAATAACTGCCAAAACTCTTCCCTCTTAATACTAGTAAATATAGATACACTGATCTGAAATTCCTCATTTCTTGTAACAGTGTAATATAAGTAGTTGCTGAAGAAGTGTATGGCGACGTCTTCAATAATGCTATCCAGATCTCGGAAACTTTGCGTCATAATTACTGTATAAAGAACATCTTAGAGTGTGCGGCAACATACATCTACTCAAATAATAAATAACAAAAGATATCACGAAGACGAAGTCGTAGACTCTGCCAGACAATATCTTGGAAAATAGTCTGTTCATACCAACACTAGAAGAAATCAAGGGAAGATTCTTTTGACAAAATCCTGGGAGTATTTAACATCTTTTATTCCTTTTTGTGTGTTCTGAAGGTCCTATTGTGTTTTTAGTCAATTGATTTTTGTTGATAGATTTTATCCAATAGAATGTCACATACCTGGGGAAAATTCTTCTGTAGGTTTTTTCATCTAGAGCTTCCTGTTGTAAAAAACACATAAGCTATTCTAGTTTTTTGGTGTAACATTAGTTATTATTATTATTATTATTATTATATTGAATATTGAAAGATGTTCTACGGTACAGTTTGTAAAATAAGATAATGGCCTCTACTTAATAGCTAATTGCAAATGTTAACTGGTTTTTCTTTCTCTTATCTAGTGAATTTCATTACAGCTTATTGCCTCAAGCAACAATAGAGATTATAAGAACCCAGAGCTCAAAGCATTACGTGCTGAATTCCTCTTTACGGCCTCTCAACTTCTATATAAAATAATGAAGTTAGACATGCTGAATGAGAATAAGCTTTGTCAAGGGTGTACATGAGTTGGGTAAATCTAATAAACCCAATAAAACCCACCTAAACCTACCTAAAAAAACTGATTGAGTTGGATTATTGGGTGAATACAGTTTTTAAAAATGAAAATTCATTCAAATCAATTGGGTTATAGGTAAATTCACATCCAACCCACAAAATCTATGGGTTATTGAATAACTATTTTTTAATTTTTTTTTTTTAATTTAATGACTTTGATGTCTTTAATCTTGATTCCTTTAATAATAATCTTTTGAACGTATTTTCTTCTGTAAGTAATGATTTTAATTTATTTAAGATGTCTAACTTTAATTATTTTGATGATAATTCTTGTAAGTTGGAAGTATTTTTATGCAATTTTAGGTATTACCCTAATGTAACTTTGATTTTTTCAAATATATTTATGATGAATTTTATTGTGCATTTATGTATTTGGTGTTTAAAAAAAATAGCAATAATAAATTAAACTATCTACCATATAAGAAAATTGGAGACTCTGGAAAATACCTAATTAACATTTCTTCTTTATCCGCCACATCTTTTTATGGACAAATTGTGTCTGATGTAACTATTTGTCAACGAATTGTGTATTCTGGTTTCAAATAACCGCATTTCTCTATTACTTTCGTTAGTTTTTATTATAATAAACATATTAGGTAACTTGCTGTACTTTTTTTGCACATGACTGCACATTTCCCTCTTTAATGATACATACTTCAAAATTCTTTATTTTTCAATAAAACAATGTCATAGCACTATGCCTTCTTCTTGCATGTTTCCTTCCATTTCTTTTCCACATGCAAACAAATCATATCTCTCCTCTCTCTGGTCACCTTCACCTCCTTCTCCCCCAACCTACTTCAAACCCATTCTACCGACCTTTATCTCCTTCATTTCTCCAAACTATTACCAAATTTCTCATGGTGAACAATGTCGTAGTTGATCCTCCAGCGACAAAACTAAGAGGATTTCATATTTAAGATTTGATTCGATTATAATTTTATTTTCTATATGCTTTACTTTTCAATCTTTTTTCTTCTCCTTATGATTCTTTGTTTTGGAATAAATTTTGTGAGTCTTCTATGTAAATTTTTTCCGATCTAGAAATTAGCTAGGAACAAAGATTCACACCCGTGGTGATTATAGTATGATGCAAAATAAGAGCTATATGAACAAAGATCTGATAAAGTTTCATCAATGAATAAAGGGTCGGAAGAATAGATTTTAGAGGACAATTTTTTTCCGACGACGAGAACATAAAGGATATAAGGCTTAAAGTTTGGTTAATAAGTATATTTTATTTTCCTTATGGTTTGGTTTCCAATCTTTTTTCTTCTCTTTATAATTCTTTGTTTTTGAATGGATTTTGTAGATCTGCAGTGTAAATTTTCTCAGATCAGGAAATTAGAGAGGAACACCAATAATTTTTTTTATCAGATGCTTCAGAAGCTGAAGCTTATGTATCTTGGTCTTAACTCTCTTACTTTTGGCCTTCATGTGCATTTACGCTTACATCATATTTTCATAAATCGTGGTGCTTAATTGTTTTTATATAATTTTATGTATTGTTGCAACAAATATATATCAGAGACCTTAAGCAGGATAATATACTTATACTGGCAAATGTAAACCGCAAATAAAAGTATGTGATTTTGAACTTGTATGAGTTGCATTCAATGATACCCCACCAATAACTTTTTAGACAGTAATATAGTCTATTCAAATTGTATTTCTAATAGAGCATGTGAAAGGTATGACTTTTTAGGTATGAAGTTGAGGTTTTCAAGCTTCTTTATGAGACATTGTGTGAAATTTAAAATTCTTTGCTTCTTTATGACATTGAACTTTAAATTATGAATATCCAGTATATGGTATGGTGGCAAAGTTCTTTCCTCCTCATGGGGTTTGATCTTCTATTTCAGGCTCGATGATGCAATTCAATTTCTGGAGCATGTTTTTAATATGAGGGGAGAAAATCTTGGTACAACAAATTCCGACTTGGATATGTGGCATAAATTTCTGACCAGGTTCATTATTTTGTCTGTAAAAAAAGTGATACATTATTTAGCTCTTAATCGTTGGAATGACAGTTTATAATAAATTTTTGATTAACTTTCTGCATATATTATGTGTTCAAGTTGTTATATTTAGAAGTGTTAATTTGTGCTTTTTGACTTTATATTAGCTTAAAATTACTCATATTGCATGAAGGTTTATTGCTGAAGTTACAAAGCAAGTTTCGTTAGATCTTGAAGCAAGTTAATATCAGGTAAAGTTTTCAGTTATCTCAATTGCAATCTTGAAGATACATATACGTTACTGCTTCCATTAACTCGCGGGGTATAGTTTTGTGATTTATATTCATTGTTGAGTGCTTGAATTCATATATATTTTACACTATGATTTCATCATCAAGTGCTGCCAACATTGGACAATATATATGGGGTTCTTATCTGAACCATTATTTTGTTGTGACATGTTGCGTGTTGCATCAGCTGAAGTATCATATGAATAGTGAACTATTTTTGATATGTGGATGGTTTAGTGTGTTAGGATTTGTGGATGGTTTAGTGGGTACAGATTTGGCAAACATGTATATTTAAATTGTGTTGTGAATTCAATGCCAATAACAAAGTATAGAATAAGGGAAGAATAAAGAACAAGGAAGAAGAAGAACACAAGAATTGGTTATAACTGCTATTCTTTACTTTCTCTTAGAAAACAAGATTACAAGTTTACAAGAATAACAAATAACCCTCTCACCCTAAATTAGGATTTGCTGTGATGCAATGATGAGAGACTAGTATGCTATTTATAATAAAACCTAACATACTAACTAATGGGCTTTTTCCACAAGGCCCATTATACAAGCTAACTTAATAATCAAGCTAACTTAACAAATTAGGGTTTTAAACACTAAAACCTAATTTAACAAGCATTCTTCGACAAATACATGCTTCGACTACAGCATGTACTTCGATCATGCTAGAGTTCGATCCAAAATCCCACAAATCTCCACCTTGGACCTAACTCTACAGCATCAAGAGACACTAACTAGCTTTCTTCATGCAGCTTTATCAACTGCATACAGTGGAAAAACTTGCAACTTGGCAATGTTTTGGTGATCATATCAGCGGCATTGTGATCTGTCGAGACCTTCAGCACTTGTACTTCTCCACGCTCGATTACCCCTCTGACGAAATGCAGCCTCACATCTATGTGCTTAGTTCGCTCATGATAGGCTGAGTTCTTCGACAGGTGTATTGCACTTTGACTATCACATTTAACAGTGATACCTTGACCTTGAAGTTTCAGCTCCTTCGCAAAACCTTCAAGCCACAATGCTTCTTTCACAGCTTCAGTTAGGGCAATATATTCTGCTTCAGTAGTTGATAAGGCAACAACCTTCTGAAGAGTTGCTTTCCAACTAATTGCTGTACCAAACATAGTGAAAACATATCCAGAAATAGATTTTCTGGAATCCATACAGCCTGCATAATCAGAGTCAACATAGCCTTTGACTGCTGCTTTACTATCTTCACCCAGGGCTCCACCATAAATTAAGACTCTGCTCAGAGACCCATTTATGTACCTTAGAATCCACTTTAACGCTTGCCAGTGAGCCTTTCCAGGATTCGCCATGTACCTGCTTACAAGACTTACTGCATATGCTATGTCGGGTCTAGTACAGACCATAGCATACATCAAAGAACCAACTATATTAGCATATGGGATGCTGTTCATATAGGTTCTTTCAACATCAGTACTGGGACATTGATCAATGCTCAGCTTGAATTGAGGGTTTGTTGGAGTCACAACAGGCTTTGAATTCGACATACCAAACTTGTCAAGAATCTTTCGTAGGTATGCCTCTTGAGATAAGCATAATTTCGACTGCTTTCTATCTCTTCGAATGTCAATTCCAAGAATCCTAGATGCAGCTCCCAGATCCTTCATGTCAAACTCCTTATTGAGTTCAGCCTTCACCCTCATTACATCTTCGACATTGTTGCTTGCTATCAGAATATCATCAACATAAAGCAACAAAATAACAAATGAATTTTCAGGTCGAAATCTGGAGTAAACACAATGGTCGAACTGACTTCTAATGAAACCTATGTGTTCCATGAACTTGTCGAATCTCTTATTCCATTGTCGAGGAGATTGTTTAAGTCCATATAAAGATCTCTTCAGTTTGCACACATAATCTTCTTTCCCCTTTTCGACATACCCTTCAGGTTGCCTCATCAGAATTGTTTCATCTAAGTCACCATACAAGAACGCAGTCTTCACATCCATTTGTTCCAGTTCAAGGTCGAACTGAGCCACCATGGCAAGCAACATTCGAATGGATCTGTGCTTCACAACAGGGGAAAATACATCATTGAAGTCGACACCTTCTTTCTGAGTGAAACCCCTTGCAACTAATCTTGCCTTGTACCTTTTCGACATTACTCCTTCAATTCCTTCCTTAACTTTGAAAATCCACTTACAGCTGACTAACCTTGCCCCAACAGGTTTCTTGATTAGTTCCCAAGTGTGATTATCATGAAGAGATTTCATCTCATCATCCATGGCCTTTAGCCATTCAGTCTTCATTCGACTCCTTATAACTTCCTTATAATCTCTAGGTTCTTCGTCTAGAACTTCACTTGCAGAGATTAAGGCATAAGCTACAAGGTCTGCATATCCAAGTCTCTGAGGTGGTTTTATGACTCTTCTTTGCCTATCTCTCGACAATAGGTAGTCATCAACAGTTTCCTCAACATCATCAGAATCTTCTGTTTCTTCTTCGACTTCATCTGGGATACGCATTTCAGCATCAACATGCTCCACCTCAACAGGAATCTCTACCTGTTCCAGCTCTTCGTCAACATCATCAGTTTTCTTGGAAGCCATTTCAGTTTCATTGAAAACTACATCTCGACTGGTGATACACCTCCTGTGACCTGGCTCTAGGCACCATAGCCTATAAGCTTTCACTCCTTCAGGGTATCCCATAAACATGCATTTCAGAGCTCTAGGTTCGACCTTGTCTTGCCTAATGTGAGCATAGGCTACACAGCCAAATACTCTTAGTTTGTCGAGATCTGGTGGATGTCCCGACCAAACTTCTTCAGGTGTCTTCATATCTAACGCTGTCGAAGGACATCTGTTTATCAGATATGCTGCTGTCGAAACAGCCTCAGCCCAAAACACCTTCTTTAATCCCGCACTAGTCAACATGCATCTAACTCTCTCCAAAATAGTTCGATTAAACCTTTCAGCCAAACCATTTTGTTGTGGAGTACCTGCGGTAGTTCTGTGCCTTGCAATACCAGAGGCAACACAAAAACTGTCGAACGCCTCATTGCAAAACTCAAGGCCATTGTCGGTTCTCAACCTCTTTACCTTTCTGCCAGTTTGATTTTCGACAAGAGTCTTCCAACTTTTGAAATTCTCAAAAGTTTCATCCTTAGTCTTCTGGATGAATACCCATAACTTTCTGGAATAGTCATCTACTATGGATAGAAAATACTTTGCTCCTGAATGTGATGGACACCTTGCAGGCCCCCAAAGATCAGCATGGATGTAATCGAGGGATCCATGTGTTCTTTGTTTGCCTTTGTTGAACTTCATTCTACAGGACTTTCCAAGTACACAGGGTTCACAAAACTTCAGCTTTTCGACTTTATCTCCACCAAGCAGATTTTGTTTCCCTAATTCGACCAGACCCCTTTCACTGACATGGCCCAATCTCATGTGCCAAATTTCTGTCTTCGACAAAGGTTTCGTGGATGCAACATTTGTCGAACCACTTACAACTTCAGCCTCAAGGGTATACAAGCCTTGTTTCTTCACGCCTCTCAAGACTTCCTTCGACCCTTTCATGACTCTTAGGATACTTTTCTCTCCTTGAAAAACATATCCTTTCTTGTCGAATTCACCAAGAGAAATCAAATTTCTCTTCAAATCAGGTACATACCTGACTTCAGTCAACAATCTTATTGACTCATCATGGAGCTTGAATCTCACAGATCCAACGCCTGCAATCTTGCAAGCTTTGTTGTTTCCCAGCAATACAGATCCACCATCTTGATCACATAATTCCTCGAACAAGTCTTTGTTTGGAGTCATGTGCCAAGTGCATCCAGAATCCATAATCCATTCCTTCGACGAGTTTTTGCTTGAAACCACAAGAACATCAGATGATTCGAAATCATCTTGGACAATAGCTGCGTTGCCATTATCCTTACCTCCATGATCTTTCAGGCGTTCAGGGCACACCTTTCTTGTGTGACCTACTTTCTTACAGTGATAGCATCTAATACCAGATGCATCACCACTATAAGACTTCGACTGATTTTTACCTTTCCTCTTGTCGAATTTTCCTTTAACAGCCAAACCTTCACCAACCGTCGAAGGTTTATGCTCCTTACGTTCGTTCAAGTCCTTAGAGTACAAAGCTGATTGAACTTCTTCAAAGGTCAGGGACTCTCTTCCATACAAGAGGGTTTCTTTGAAGTGAGCATGTGATCTGGGCAAAGCGCACAATAATAACAGCGCTTGATCTTCATCATCAATCTTTACATCAATATTTTCAAGATCAAGAATCAGCTTGTTGAACATATCCAACTGCTCAGCCAGCACTTTGTCTTCAATCATCTTGAATGAATACAAAGCTTGCTTCAGGTAGAGTCGATTTACCAGAGATTTGGTCATATACAAACTTTCAAGTTTCACCCATAACCCTGATGCCGTCGTCTCCTTTGATACCTGTCGAAGAACCTTATCACCAAGGCTCAACAAAATTGCGCTGTGTGCTTTCTCGATCATGGCCGTCTTCTCTCTTTCTGTTAACGCAGCGTCCATCGCCGTCGCTCCCTTCAACGCTTCCAAACAACCCTGCTGAACCAGTAGGACTTTCATCTTCAAGCGCCATAGACCGAAATCATTCACTCCGGTGAACTTTTCAATCTCATATTTTGTTGAAGGCATCTTCTCCATGCTCACCGCACCAATTTGTTGTGAATTCAATGCCAATAACAAAGTATAGAATAAGGGAAGAATAAAGAACAAGGAAGAAGAAGAACACAAGAATTGGTTATAACTGCTATTCTTTACTTTCTCTTAGAAAACAAGATTACAAGTTTACAAGAATAACAAATAACCCTCTCACCCTAAATTAGGATTTGCTGTGATGCAATGATGAGAGACTAGTATGCTATTTATAATAAAACCTAACATACTAACTAATTGGCTTTTTCCACAAGGCCCATTATACAAGCTAACTTAATAATCAAGCTAACTTAACAAATTAGGGTTTTAAACACTAAAACCTAATTTAACAAGCATTCTTCGACAAATACATGCTTCGACTACAGCATGTACTTCGATCATGCTAGAGTTCGATCCAAAATCCCACAAATTGGCATGGCACATTTATATTTAAATTGTAAAAAACCTAATGTGTTCTTTTGAATTCAATGAATCTGTTTATAATATGATTTAGTTTGAATTTCATAGACGCTAAAGTATACGTCTTTCTTGTCTTTCACTAACTGCTTCTCTTTGTTCCTGAGAAGAAAGTATGGTATCACATGTTGAGAGATACTTTGTCGCGTTGTCTGCTCTTCCTGTTTTGTGTAATGTTAATTCAGATATGAAAAGAGGGAAATACAGTGTGTTTGGAGTTGTTACGCTTGAGAAATTGAAAGTTAAGTTTTTGCAACAATAGAGTAATAAGTCTTCTCCTGAGTTTTGTGCTATGGAATTAAGGTTTTTGAGAAATCGAAAGTTGCATTATCATAATAACTTATGCAGATTGGACATGTCAATGTAGCATCTGCTAACCGTTGTACTGCTGTTATGCAATACAAAGAAAAGAACATTCAAATTTTGAAAGTACAAAAATATACAAACTAAATGTAGAATGACTGAATGAAAAGGAATGAACTTAATGAAAAGGTTAATTCCAGCTAGCCAGGTTAATCCTTAAACAAATATTCTCTACCAAGTACTAACTGAATGAAAAGGAACATACCGCGATGTAATTCCAAGCTCCAGGATTATACTTCACACATCATATGTTTGCTTTCATGTATATATTTATATAATTGATTTCACTGTTGGTATTGCTTTCATGTTGTTATACTTTCATTTCTAATCTCACTATTTGCATTGATTTCACAAAGAGCAGTGTTAGGCTGAGCCTACAATTCTGCAATACTTTGATGAATGATATCAACATATGTTGCCAAAGGTGACCAGAAGCATCATACAAAATATGGCATCTAAGTCAACAGAAACACAAGATGATAAATGCAATCGTAAAACCCAGGTATAATTTTTGTGTTCTTTCACGTGAGGTTCGTTCTGCACTCTTACACTATTTTTAAATTGTAGTGAGTATCCGCTGTCAATAGTTTTGGTAGGAGTTGGAGATGGACCATGGGAAATGATAAAGGAATTTGACGATAACATTACTTCTCGAGCATTTGACAATTGAACCGGTTTGGTGTAACTCACTTAACCTCTTTTACTTCTTGAAGGAATCGGACAAAACTCATCGCATAAAAATCAATGAAGTCACCACTGAACATCTATTCATCTCACGAAGGAGAAAGAGAAATATCGAAGAAAACTTGAAAGGGAGAAATCACGTTTTTTCGACCAAGAAATCGGGTAAGGGAGTCGGTTACGCGAGGGGAAAGTATATGCACCCCACACATCGTAGTACTCTACGGTATCCACTCTTGTTGTTTAGCTAATGGGTGTGAAAGAATCTATATCTAAGTTGTAGAATGTATGTATGTAAAAGAAAGAAGAAAAAGTGTGGGGAAAAGAAAGAAGTATTTCCAAATTGTGCTCGATTAGGCCCCATAAAAATCCTCCGCCTTTGTATCCCTTTTAAGGAATCAGAGCAGCCGTAGTTCGGCTCAATAGTTTTGGTAGGTTTGTAATTTTTATGGAATAACATCAATTTCACATTCTAACTGTAGCTCGACCTTTGGAGACTCACACATCTGGAGTAGAAAGGAATTAATGTGCTCGAAAAGTGCCCGGAGGCGGATAATGCTATAGTCGCGACTCGTAGTAAGTAGACATAGTGCAACCCGATACTTGGGGAATTACGCGTCGTATTGCATAGAGGGACAATAACACATCCAGTTTGAAATTGAAAATCCAAAACACGAGAAAAAGAAGTTTGAATTTGTTTGTGTCTTTTACTTTTGCGAAAGGATTTTGAGTTTATTAAAGGCATTTTAAAGATTGGCCAGGAAAGAGTGTATTTTATGCACATGCAAAGTGGGGGAAAAGGAAGAGTCTACTGGGGACTAACCTATTTCTAGCCTAGTTATCATACAAAGATCGCCTTAAGGTTCAGACCAAGTTTTACTAGGAACCAACTCATCCGAGAAAGAACCATTGGAGGATAGGGTTTAAGGATTGTGTCTATTCAACTTCATGTAAACAAACCCAACTCTCTCTTCTTTGAAAATTTGTGCCGCAAACTCTCCATCACTGTACCCCTTCATCCAATATCTGATGCTCTCATCTCTTCTCCAATTTGCACTGAAACAAACCTCCACACTCACTTTCTTCGTCTCTTCTTCGCGATTTTGCTGCATCTTCTCTGATTATGCCACCAATGTACTCCTCTCCTCTAATGTGGCTTTATCTTCATCGACGGCGCGACTACTCCACCGTCTCAAGCCTCATCGCCTTCTTCTCAATTAGTTCCTGTTGGTTCATGATTTTAAAAATGTTGCCACTGAAGAAATTACCGGGTTGAGTCGCGGATCAGTTCGCTCTCTTTAAGACGTTTCGCGGTACTGCCCAAAATTATGCAAAGCAGTCGAACTACCACGCCGCCTCCAGGATAAAACAGCCCAGTTCTATACTGTACGATTACTACTTGCACGATAGATAATCGGTCTAGAAATACACCCTCTAATGGTACTAAGACCATTCAAATATGGTATAAATACCACCGTAGTATCTGATATATTTACCAGTCATAAATATTTCTCAAACCAAGAGAAATTTCAATAATTCTTCAAAGAGAATTCAATAATGATCATTTTTGATCACTCAAAGATTTCTCAAACAAAGAGAAATTCGAATAATTCTCTAAAGAGAATAAAAAATTATACTTGAAAATTTCTCAACTCAAACGAGGAGAAATTAACATTATTCTCTATAAAGAGAATTCAAGAAAATACTCGGAAAATTCAACGAGTAGAAAGAAAGGGGAAGAAGTTGGCGCTTCGACAATTCGAAAGACGCAGAGTTATGAGAGTGAGGAAGGAAAAACTAATAAAATGTTTTTGGTGTATTTTGTAAGGAAACAAGTGACTTCCTTATATAATAAAGTGAGATGGTTAATATTTCTCACATGAGCAATGTGGGACTAAATGAATTTTTTTTAATTCAATATGGAACATGGACATGTTCCAACAATCCCCCACTTGAATTTAAAAAGGTGAATTTGAAAGTAACGTCAAACGTTTCTAAGATTGTGCATAAACAAAGGTGTCTACGACTTGAACCTTTGCATAGCAAGTAGGATTCCGATTCAACAAGAGTGACACAAATGTCTTGAACTCTATCTCAGACATCAAACCCACACACAACCTTTTCTTAAGGTGTATTCTAATAGCCCGTACTTTAATGGCCCTGCACGTGTATCCCGGTTTAGTGAATGCTCTAGGAATCCTGCCTCGAAATTCCATAGGAACCGGCCTAAGTTCCACAATCACATAGGTGAGTCTATCAAGAGTACTCCTGTAGCCTAGGTACTCCCTCATACAGAGTATAGATTTCATTAAGAGTTTCTATTATCTCATCCTCTAATTACTTCAGGATTCATGCTTTACTTGCATGATAATCTCATATTACTCATAACTTGTTATTACCCATTGAACCTATTTCTTGGGATCTCCAGTCATTTAGGTCGGGTTACCATCATGAGAAACTCATTTCTATATAGGCATTAGTCTCATGATATATTATAGACTTTCTCTCTAGCTAATCCTTTCGTCAAAGGATATGCTAAATTTTCATCGGTGTGTACATGATCCACTCTTACAACTCCTTTAGAGATATAGTCTCTAACAGTGTTGTTCTTTCTTCTAATTTGATGTCTTTTACCATTATAATAATGGTTCTCAGTTTTTGCAATAGCCGCGGTACTATCGCAGTGGATCAACACAACTGGCATGGATTTTTCCCATAAGGAAATCTTAGTTAGCAGGCATATTTTAACTAACTTTCTTCTTCACTAGCAATCGCTAACGTTATCATATCAGACTCCATTATGGAATGAGCCATGATACTTCGTTTCCTTGATTTCTAAGATACAACTCCTTTAGCTATGGAATACATAGCCACTAGTTGCTTTGGAATCATCTAATAATATGTTTCAATCTGCATCACTGTACCCTTCAAGTACAGCCAGAAATTTCTGATAATGTAAACTGAGATATATGGTCCTTTTAAGGTACCTCATGACTCGCTTAATAGCTTGTCAATGCTCGTAATTCGGTTTACTCGTAAACCTGCACAATAATCCCACTGCATATGCAATGTCGGATCTAGTATAATCAGTGACATACCTAAGATTGCCAATGATGCTCGCATATTTTGTTTGTCTAACACTTTCACCAGTGTTCTTAAACAGTTTCACACTTGGATCATAAGGTGTGCACCCAAGTTTACAGTCGAAGTAATTATACTTCTTTAAGATCTTTTCCACATAGTGTGATTGATCCAAGGAGATGCCTTGTTCTGATCTCGTGATCTTGATACCAAGGATCACACTTGCTTCACCGAGATCTTTCATATCAAAGTTGTTGCACAACAATGATTTCACTTCATTGATGGTCTGAATGTTTGACCCAAATATGAATAGGTCGTCTACATAGAGACATATGATAGTGCAAATGTGATTCTCATATTTGTAATAAACACATTTGTCACTTTCATTCATCTTATACCCATTTGATATCATTAAGTTGTCAAACTTTTCATGTCATTGCTTCCGAGCTTGCTTTAGCTCATACAAAGACTTGTCTAACTTACAGATCTTGTTTTCTGGTCCATGGATCACAAAGCCTTCCGGTTGTTCCATATAGATTTCTTCTTCTAATTCACCATTGAAAGAAGTTGTCTTAACATCCATTTGGTGTACTATTAAACTATAAATAGCAGTTATTGAGATAAGTACCCTAATGGATGTCATTCTGGTGACCGGAGAAAAAGTGTCGAAGAAATCTATATTCTCTCTTTGTCTAAAACCCTTGGCTACAAGGCGAGCCTTGTATTTATCAACAGTTCCATCAGGTTTTAGTTTCTTTTTCAAAACTCATTTACAACCGATTGGTTTGCATCCAGGAGGCAAGTCTACTGAGTGACAGATCTTGTTAGATTCTAGAGAATCTATCTCATCATTAATAGCTTCTTGTCAGATATCTGCATCCAGAGATGACAAGGCTTCTTGAAGATTCATTGGATCTTCCTCTACATTATAGGTCGCATAATTCTTCCCATAGTCTTTAGAAACTCTTACTCTTTTACTTCTTCGAAGTTCTGTTTCTACATCGTCGTTGCTTTTTGTGCTTCTTATCACATGAATGTGACTCGATTGAGTGCCCCCACTATTTCTCGATTTGAAAGGAAAATTTTTTTTTTCTTCATAGAATTCAACATCATTTGATTCTATGATCACTTTTGCATTTAGGTCATAGAACCTATATGCCTCACTGTTTGCTTCACACCTAATGAACACACATTCATAGGCTCTATTAGCAAGTTTAACTCGCTTCGTATCCTGAATTCTGACATATGCCAGACAAACCCAAGTTCTTAAATAAGACAATTTTGGTTGTCTTTTCTTTAATATCTCATAAGGAGAGATATTACTTTTTAACTTGGGAACTCGATTCAGGACATAGCAAATAGTCAACAAAATTTCCCCCACCAGTGAGAAGCAACACCAAAATTTAATATAATTGCAACAACAAGTTCAATAAGAGTTATATTCTTTCTTTCTGCTTTACCATTCATTTCAAAAGAGTATGGTGCAGTCATTTCATGTACAATTCCATGTAATTCACATATACCATAGTGTACAAGGTCTAGGGGATCAGATCCTTTAATAATTGATTTTTAAATTCTTTACAAAGTTTTTAAACATATCAATTTCATTCACAAGAATGTCATTCTTTGTAATGGTGTACAAATCTACCCCAATGGACTGACTAAACTATGCCTTATATAAAAGAAAACCAGAAACAAAATTCTTCCTAATCTCAAGAACATGTATGACGTCCTTCGAGATTAAAGTCTTTCTGGAGGTGAAATTCAACTCCATTTCTCCAATTCTAGCAACATTAGTGGTGTGGACATATCCCAACAACACTTTCTTATCTTTAGTATTCGTGTATGTTTTAAACATAACACGATCATAACAGACATGATGAGAAACACCAATGTCTATCCACCAATCATCAAATTCATCAACCGTGTTGATTATCATAGAAATAAATTTCCCATTAGTCAGTTTGACCTATGCATTAGGGGTAGCACCAGGTTCAAGCCTCTTCTACATTTCTTAATCTTATGACATGATTTTCCATGGTTAAAACAATGGAAAACAACATCATTTCTTTGAGGTGGTGATTGTTGCCTAGTTGGAGCAATTGAGACCATAGAAAGGATCTCATTCTTAATTCGGATCACAACATTGCAGTTCTGATTCTTTAATCATTTTCCAAATGGCTTCAGAACTACACCGAATTTTTATTTGTTGTTTAAAACAACCAAGACTTTTCTTCTTGATATTGTCTCTAAGATTCCTCTTTTTTTAACTCAAGGAGAATAATCAGATTCTAAAAAATACATCTAAATACATACCTTTAGTGATGACCTCATGAGAATTCTTTTTGAAGTTCATAACTTTGAGTATCCACAGATCTTTCATCTACCATCTGATACTTTTCGTAGTTGCTAAAATCATTCTTTTGTTCTCCAGCTTCTTCAATACTTATTTTTCATAGCCTCGTAAACTTGTTTTGGAGTATCGCAATTATTGTAATAATCATATAGATCATTTGCGAGTCCATTTAGAATGTTATAATCATTCTCTTTCTATAAGGAGATTTCTTCCTTTAGCTGTAAATCCTTCTCTTTAATCTATGTTGTAAATTCAGATTCATTGAAATTAATAATTCAATCTAAGTTCATAGATTTCTTTTTATTCGTTTGTTCAACTGATCCAAGTGGAACAGTAGGAATGTTATCGGTCAAAATATTGACAAACTTCTTTATGGTTTGGAAAAACCTCACTTTTGTTGCCAACTTTTGAAATGCACTCCTTCAAACTAGAACGGTTTGTCCGAGACAATCTTAGAAGTACCGATAATTTCTTCAATAGCCATGGCAGTTTGACACGTCTTAAAATTGTTGGTTCATGATTTTAAAAATGTTGCCACTGAAGAAATTACCGGGTTGAGTCGCGGATCAGTTCGCTCTCTTTAAGACGTTTCGCGGTACTGCCCAAAATTATGCAAAGCAGTCGAACTACCACGCCGCCTCCAGGATAAAACAACCCAGTTCTATACTGTACGATTACTACTTGCACGATAGATAATCGGTCTAGAAATACACCCTCTAATGGTACTAAGACCATTCAAATATGGTATAAATACCACCGTAGTATCTGATATATTTACCAGTCATAAATATTTCTCAAACCAAGAGAAATTTCAATAATTCTTCAAAGAGAATTCAATAATGATCATTTTTGATCACTCAAAGATTTCTCAAACAAAGAGAAATTCGAATAATTCTCTAAAGAGAATAAAAAATTATACTTGAAAATTTCTCAACTCAAACGAGGAGAAATTAACATTATTCTCTATAAAGAGAATTCAAGAAAATACTCGGAAAATTCAACGAGTAGAAAGAAAGGGGAAGAAGTTGGCGCTTCGACAATTCGAAAGACGCAGAGTTATGAGAGTGAGGAAGGAAAAACTAATAAAATGTTTTTGGTGTATTTTGTAAGGAAACAAGTGACTTCCTTATATAATAAAGTGAGATGGTTAATATTTCTCACATGAGCAATGTGGGACTAAATGAATTTTTTTTTAATTCAATATGGAACATGGACATGTTCCAACAGTTCCTCACTTCTGTTTTCGCTCAACATGACGTGAGCATAAACCTCAAGGAACTGCTTGTGTTTCAAATTTCGCTTCCAATCGCGATTTTGCAAACCAAATGGAGAATAAGAAATTGAAGAAAACGCAAGTATTACCTATTGGAAGACAAGTCTGGCGCGTCTTCAAAACTCAGGTATGCCTATTTGATTCCATTTTCTCTTCTTCCTCGATTCCAATTACGTTTCAATTATTGCTCAAGCGTTCGTTGTTGTTGTTATTGATTGATTGCAGAGACTGAAATAGAGCGTGATGACGGTGATGCAGTTCTTGCAACGTTGATGTGAAGAGAAGCGTTGATGAAGATCAGAAGAACTGGTTATGGCGGTGTTGATGAATACACGATTTTCAAATTGAAGCAGTTGGAAGAATCAGTTGCAGAAAATTAATCGTGCAGAGATTTTCAGCGAGAGTTTAGAGGTGTTGTTATGAGTTCTTGGTGAAAAATTAGGAAGGACAAAGAGAGAGCAGAGATTTTTCTGGAGTATTTTTGAGAAATGAGTCGTGAATGCAGGTTTGAGAGAGAGAGAGAGAGATGAGCAAAAGAAGTGCAGAGAGAATTGAGAGTTCTGGTGATTCTTCTCACATATGAAGAATGATCTCAGTAAAGGTGAGTTTTTCTGTTTAAATTCTGTTATGACAGTTTGTTAGAGAATATAGAATCTCAACCCTTGATTCCAAAAATTAGTTACAGAATGAATGGAGGAGATCTGAGTTTGTTATTCGGTTAGGATGAGCTGGCAATTCTGATTTACTGCTCTTTTCCATTATTTTCTGATTTTGACTTATTTTGAATGGAAAAAGGGCAGGTCTTGTGCCAACCGGAAGTTGATCATGCCTCAATGCTGACTCTTGCACTAACAGAAGCAGGGGGAACGCTCTCTTTGTATTCATCTGACTGGTCATCAAAAAGTTCCCAACTATTAAAAGAAACAACTCTTACAGTTTTTCCTTCCGTTTCAATTTGCAGCAGGCTCATTATTTCTGATTTTATGTTCTGATATTTTCTTTCGATTTTCATTATGCAGTGCAACTTGTGTTTGGATCTTTTTCTGACATTTTCTTCGGTCTCGGATTTACTTAACAAGTGCAGGGCTGGTTCTTGTAGCAGCCTGATTTTATTGTCGAACAGAACCGTTTTGGGATCTGGTTTATGAAGCAGATATCATGGACAATTTGCGGCGATTTTGGACGGAAATTATGGTGATGAATCAGCATATTATAACATTGCTTTGGTTGAAAGCAAGTGAAGTACTTGAACATGGAACCATATTGTGAACAGATGATGGAGAACAAGACTATGGAAACTTGATTTTTTAGCAAGATAAAGTTAACTTAGAACATGAACTTTTTGTGTAATTTTTGTAAGGTTTAGTTTTAGGTTTATGTAATTATTGATGTAATGATAAAGTTGTAATGGAACCAAATGATGTTGAATATATGAATGGTTTTGTAACGAAGGTTTAGAGTTAAAAAACAAAATTTATGTGCCTTGAATATGTTGACTTTTCACTCGAATATGGACTTGAAAAGAATGAAATACTTCCCTCCCTAATTTGAACTTTCAAATCCTTTTCCGCATGTCTCCACTTGAAATGAACCATGCTCTTTTGCTTTATCTTTGCAAATTTTAGTGAGCTCATGGATGATAAGATGAAAGAACCAACTAAAGTCAAAGCTTCCACAAATGCTTTTTAAACTTAAAAATTAACTCACAAAAACTCCACGTGAACCCATATTCTTGCATAAGTCTGAAACCCCTGACTTATGATCCTAGTAACCCAATGAATCAATTTTGAATGATGATAAAAACCCATATGAAAACCTCAATATGAAAAGTACACCACCTGAGAGTTATACCTAAGCATTAAATGAATAAGATCCTCAGTTAATATCATCAAATCACAACCATAATTCACTTTCTTCTTGATACAACTTAAAAGGACGGCTTTGTCTCTTGATGAACTTTGAGGGAGCTACCCTTCTAGCTTGATGAGAAAGATCTCAATGATCGCGAATCATAACCCTAATTCCACAGCTCATTTCTTGAAGAAGAAATCAACCTTTATTGGATATATTACTCTCAGGAGGAAAAATTTTGGGATACAACACTTCTCTTATACAAACGATAAATCTTCCCTCTCAATCATTAATTTGCAAGCATTTAACTTTATAGGAATATTTTATGTAGGTTTCTGGTCGGAGTTTCCATTAATAGGACATGTTTTTCCTCGATATTTTTTTAGAAATACAAGAGGTAGTCAAGAATATGTGTGTGATCAAGCATGAGGAACAAATTGTTCAGTTTGAGAAGAACAATTTTAAAAATTGTGTAATTTCCAATTCATAAATGTTTTTCTTGAAGAAAGGTTCAGATTAGTGAACTTTCTGTAAAATCCGCTCAGTTCATGAACCGACATCAACAATTTGGTTTTTTACAGCGAGATATGGTTCAATTGTAATGCAATTTGTATCAAGAACTTTGTCAAATTACTATTTATCCTAAAATTATAAGACTAAAAAGAAGAAGAATTGGTGCAAAAATTGAAAAAACATGGGTCTTGACATGGTCTGCATACCTTTTTGTTGAAATATTAGACAGTTGAAAAATGCATCATTTCTACAACAAAAGATTTAAGAAATACTAACAAATATAAGTATTACACAAATCAATTCTCAGATGTATGTATAATTGTATGACAGTTTGAATGTCTGCATGATCTGTTGATTGATGAATGTCATTTGTGAATCAATTGAATTTGGTGAAAGCAAGTGTATATATAAGCAATTGTATGTAGATTTTATGGTAGATAATTGTATGTATAATATCAAATACATTTCTCTCGTGAAGTGTGTGGTTTGGCCTTGGTGGAATGATTGTTTTACCATATGTCATTTTTTCCTATCGAGATTTCAAGCAGTTGTGTGAATCTGATGGAATGGATACGCAGATAGACATACTTGATTCATAACTGTAAATGAATTTCTGTGGACTCATCATATGAAATTTTATACAATCTTTAGCATTTATCCCCTTATCCAATACCAAATAGAAAATAAAAATGGTATACCAACAAGTTGGAATTTTTTTACTATGTTATATAAAAGGTGCAACTAAATATGGTTTTGAAGTGTCGAATAAGAAGTGATCTGACCTGATCAGAAGGTTTGGACCGTCACGGCTTGCTCCGAGCTTAAGGCTTTTTGAACGAAGAGGGGAAGGTACCTGCAAGGCACTCCGATGCTAAAGTCAGTGGGAGTACGAGCAGATAATAGAGTTGAGGTTAGAATGATCAATACCTGACCCTCTGGAAACAGAGGGTATTTATAGCCCCCAGCGCTGGGCCAAGGTTCCTTCATTGGGCCGGGCGGATTTGACCCAATGGAGGAACTGCCAGGTTCTACGTGGGTAGTGGGGACCTGCACGTGGTCCCCTTCCTGGATGTGCTGCGTGAAGTGCGGGCGGACGGAGACGCGGTCTTTCCGGAGTATCGTTGGGGCAACGGTGGACTGAGTCTGCCCTAGCCAGGTAGCTCGAGACCATGTCGAGCTGCGCAGCACGGTGCCGAGCTCGACGCCAAGACCTCGAACTGAACAGCGAGTGTCGAGCCGGATGTCAGGACACAGAGCCGGACGGCAGGGTGTCGAGCATGACTTCACCGCGTGGGGCTGGACATCGAGATGTCGAGGTGGACATCAGGGTGTCGGGCATGGACGCGACCCCCTTTGCCCAGTGTGGTCCTTAGTGAGTCCCTTTGGACTGGGCCTTAGTAATGCTTTTGGGCCTGTCGGGCCCAGTCCAGAACAGGAGCCCCCCAAGTCGTGGTTCCTTTGCGAGGAGCCATGACTTGAAACCAAGTTGTTCCGTCGCTGAGGCCTCGTGCCCGGGATGGAGGTGTGGACCCTCGAGGGGTCTCCTCGTGTCGTGCTCGGAAACGTCCTCGGTGGTGGATGCGTGGAGGATCCGTACCGGGCGCGTCGGTCGAGGACACGAGGCATCTTTCGGGAGTTGTGCCGCCACCCTAGGGGGGTAGGGCCATCATTGCGTTGGGAGCAGTGCATCGAGGAGATGGAGTCCGTGGTTGAACGAGGTGACGTTTGGTATTCCACGTCATCACTATAAATAGGGTCCTTGGGCCCCATAATACGTTTTCCGTTCTCCGTGCTCTCTCCGTTGCCGCTCTCAACACTTCCTCCAGTTGCAACTTCCCGTCTCAGATTCTTCATTTCTTAGCCAAATCCCAAACTTTGATCCAAGTAAGTGATCTACTTTCTTCGTTTTTCCGTTTTAGAATGCATGATTCCTGGAAATTGTAGATGTTTTAGGACCGTGCGTGTGGGATTAGCCCGGTAAACTCGTGTTTTGCCCGACATATTCATGTCTAGGACCGGCAAACGCATACTTGTGGCCGACACATTCATAGTTTTAAGTGAAAAACTTCAGAGCTGCCCGGGGTCTTCATGATCCGGGGCGCCTGATTCATGGCGGTGCCCGGTATGTTTATGGTCGTGGCCGTGGGCTTCATAGTGCGGCTCGCCATGTTCATACCTCGGGTCGACATGCTTGAAGAGTGGTCGCGCAGTTGGTTTGAGGGAGAACACTGGGTTCGGGAGAGTCGGGGAGGCATCCACTTGTGAAAACGGACTTGTGTAGTCGTGTATGGACGACATGATTATGTCGAGCATAGGACTTCATGCTCAATCTGATTGGTTTCCCGTGCTCTGCAGGTAACCATGGCGGATGAGCCGAGCTCCTCCGGTCGTCGTGATCGCGAAGAACAGAGTGCCGACGAGTCGGCCACCCTTATAGATACCATGACCGACCCATCGCTGGAATGGGTGGGTGTCGAGCCTCGGGGGACCGCGTCGATATACAGTCGGGATGATCGACATCCATTCACCGCTATTGAAGAGGGTCAGGACCAGCCCGACTTCCAGCAGAATTTCGTGGTCATGTTTCCGTCGACCAATGCAAGAATTTGCTTGGTGTATCCGAACTACAGCCTCGCGATGTACGAGATCGCGTTTAAAGACTTAGGGCTGCGGCTGTCGTTCACAGATTTTCAAGCCGGGGTCTTTACGCATTTGGAGCTGGCCCCGTCCCAGCTACACCCAAACTCTCTCGCCTTCATCCGGGCGTTTGAGCTGACGTGTCGCTACTTAAGGATAGGGGCGACCATCCCTCTTTTCTTTCGGGTATTTCACCTGCAGCGTCAGTCCCGAGGAGGGAAGCACAGCTGGGTGTCTCTGAAGCAGTCGAGGAGACTGTTCAAGATGTATATGGACTCCGTGAGGGGGTTCAAGGACAAGTGGTATGTGGTACGCCCTATTACCGACTCTGCTGTAGATTCCCTTTTCGAGGAGGAAGGGCCGGTCAGCGATGATGACGGGGAAGCGATGGTGGCCGACGACGGGAGCCCCGTGTTAGGTCGTAGGGCTAAGTTCCCGGTGTACTGGATGTCCCGACACTACGAGCATGGGACAGGTTATTTCCATACCGCAGTCGGGGATATGTGCACGGAAGATCAGCGGGCGTACGAGGCTCTTTGCCGGTTTGTCGACATTTTTCATCCCGCCCAATGGGTTACGCGGGAAGGGAATGATATCCTCGACAAAGACAGTTATCCGACGTTCGAGTCTCGCCCGATCGACACCAAGGCGTTGGTGGAATGTCCGACATATAGGCAGGCAGCCCGCCTGTTAGGTTGTTTGCTTGAAATTCTTTATTCATCATTTATTCATGCAGTCTGCTCGATACTGACTTTCCCTTTATTTCGTGCAGGTTCGATGGCTAGCCGACATGAAAGGCTTCTGAAATTGTCAAACGACCAGAGGCGAGGCCGGAGGGTCGTGAAGCCCCCGCAGATGACGAGGATGGGACCACCACAAAGCCCGAACGCTCCTCAGCCGGTGAGGGTGGACTCGACGTCGAGCTCGGGGCCCGCGTCAGATCCAGAGGTCGAGGAGATTGATCCCAGTGCTGTTTTGACGCAGAGGAAGA